TACGATTATTAATACTATTACCGTTTAATTATGATAATCAATATTATAAATTACGCGTTGACTCGCTCTAAACATTCTCTACGCAGTACTCTCTCCCTACTTTCCCGCCGTTCGAAACCGTTTCGGTGTGCATGGTCCCCGGGGACCGCGCGCATGGGCGGACGCCGCACGCGGGGAATCCCGGCGCTCGCGTACACCTCGAGCGATGCGCAGTGGACGCCTGCAGGAACGGCCGCAGACGCGTTCCTCGTCTACTGGTTGACAGAGGCTGACCCGTCGAATTCGATTCCCCTAATACTGAAAAGCGTCCCGTGGTCGTGAGTTTCGTAATGATAATCAACCGCGTCCAAACAGCGCTGCGTCAACCCTTCCAGATGTCGGCACGGATTTAACGCCCTCTCTCGGATCGAACTCCCCGCCATGCGGAATAATTGTATAATCATGGTGTCCGTATGCCTTTGTGTGTATGCATGCCTGTGTATGTGTGTATAGATATATCAAGAATACTCTCGTGTTGGGCGTAGCCCGCATGCGGGACGCTGATCGAAAGGGTTAACTCGCTAGCACGACTTCGGCGGTGATCTTGATCAATGAGGATCGATCTCTAGGTCACAGAATGTCGGTCTCGTAGATCTTGCTGGTGGTCGTGGTGGTGTTGCTGGTGTTGATGGTGCTGGTCGTGTTCGGTGTGACAGTCGAGATGATGTTGCCGGTAGTCGCTGGTACGTTTGTTGGTTGGCCGTTCAGTTCGCTGGTTACGCCTGTACCCGCGCCTGTATTGCAGATCGAGTTACCGACTATGTTGGTCGTTTCTTGCTCTCCGTTCTCCTCCTGGCGAACGAGTTGTTGACCGTCCACTGAGGACTCCTGAGAAATTGACGGTTTACCGGTCAGGCTGGTCAACGAGCCTGAGCTGGTAGTGCTGAGGCCGAGGCCCATCTTGGCCAGCAGGTTGCTCTCCGATCCGGTCTTTTTCAGAAGATCTGGCGGCGCTGGTGGAACGGTAGTTAAACCAGCTGTGTTCCTCTGCAGCTGCTGCAACCGTGCGTACTGTTCCTGTAATGCCTTCTGCTTCCGTAGTAGTTCTTGGTGTCGTTGCTCCAGCTGCTCCTGCCGGCCCTTTCTGCTCTGCACGCCCTCTTGCGAGTTCACGCTCTCGCAGGAGCTTGAGTTACTGGCGGACAGCACTGCGGATGATTGAGAAGAGGAGGAGTTGTGCAGAACTGGCTCCAATGATGGCACCAAGCTGTTCGTCGCCTCGGTAGGTAATGCCATGGGTGGTTTGCCTTCCTTTGGCAGGGTTCCCCTAGCAGGTGGCCTGCGCAGAGTTGAGTTGCCCGTCATTAAATTGCAAGCGTGGTTTCTGGGTGGCAACTGAGGGCTTGTTGGGCTGGCTAACGGCGATCTGGAACTGGTCCTGGGCGGCGGAGGTGGTGGTACCCTCCTGGCAGTAGCTAACTGCAACAACTCCGCGTTCCTTTCGGGAACTGGTGGCTTCTGTCCAGGCACGAAGCCTTGGGGTAGCACTGGTAGGCTCGGTTGATCCTGCAAAGACACCTGGAGTCTTGCTATGGGTGGTGAGGTGTCCGTGTCCGAGCTCGATGGGTAAGAATGCAATCTTCTCAGGGTCCCGCCGGGATTCTGTGCCCCGGCCGGACCTACCACGGCTCCACTGGCCAGGATCCCACTGGACGAGTCCACGCTACCTTTCCTGCCTATGTCTGAGATGCACGGGGCTCGTCCTGGTGTACCGGTGGCCGGCGGTATGGTGGATTCTCTGCTACCCGATCTGCTCAGGTCTGACAGAACCGTTGATGAGCCAGGCACGTGACCTAACTGGGAACTCGGTCTGGAGAAGGTCTGCAATTCGTCTAGCAGAGCGTCGAGTGCGTTCTCCGGACGCTGCTGATGGGTGGCGGGTGGTTCGTGAGGGTGGGACCCTCCCCCGATGACGCTCGCTGACCCCACGACAGTGCGTTCCGCTGGCACAGGGGCAGGTGCCTGTTTCGGACAGGTTTTTGAGGTTATGTTAGGCACCGGTCGCAGTATGACCTGTAACGGGTAGCACCGATGGGACAAATCTTGAGCTGGGTTGCCACGTTCAAGTGACTGTACAGGCTACGCTGGGTGCCACACAGAATATATTCAACGAATGGAAAATAGAGGATCGGAGGAGTGCAGATAACGGATCTATACATTCTTGATTTATTATACATGGGTTCACGTGAAAGGACAGATCTGTGATCGAAGGTGGTGCACACGTGGCAATCCAGCGTTAAGAAGTTGTCCACCGTTGCAGCCCGTACATGCGAGCATGGCGTCGATGAGTCCTCGAGGTCTCGTCAGAAGTTCGAATAAGATTGTGGACTGTTCTGACGAGAAACTCTTGGCAGAGTTTCCTTCGGAAGCAGTGCATCGAGGCCCAATCGACCGTTCGTCGAGTCAACCAATATGGTGATCGCTTGTGGTCTTATATAGAGATATATGTTTGAACGTGTCACAGGGTATACGATTCGCATGTCCCTTTTCACCAAACAGGTCGACGATGGACGAATGGCGCTCGACTGGCCGCAGTTGGTAACTTATCATCTACGTCATGCTGATAATAGTAGAATGGTGCGCGAATGGTGTTCCATGCAAGATGCCGGTGAGACAATAATAATGGTGAGCGGGGCAACAGCGTGAGGGTGAGAGAAAAAAACGTGAAGAAAGGCGAAGAAATGATGTTTAACATTATGATTAAACAATAAGAACAATGATGACCGAGAAAGAAATCGATTTAAAGACGCGAGTCTATTTCACAATATACAGGGTGTCCTAAGACGAAACTAGCGAACTGCTACAACACTCCACCCCATTATGAGAGAAAGATGTTCTGCACACTAACGTTTCCAGTTTCCATGAGAACACGAACAGTCGTCGGAGGAGGAAACGTGAATGGAAATCGATAGTGCTCGTGACTTTTTTCTCAGACTGACTCGCAGAATGTGCTCGCTCGTTGTTTTCCTCCCGGGACACCCGGTACACGTTAACCCGGATCGCGAACGAAGAGCGACACCATTGATTAACGAGAAATCAATGGCCTGTGAGAATAAAATACAAGAAAAAGTAAATTAAGTAACGGAAAGTTTTCTTTTTAACGAAAAGAAAGAAAAACAATAATACGTATGCATTATTTCCGTTAGATAGTTACCTGCGGTCGGGTGTTATGCGTTTTGTGCGTGCGTTGTGCGTGTTACAAGTCAGTACTCGTTTGGGGCTCTTTTACGTTTGGCATCGATTGCTGTCCAGTATTAGTCAACTTAAAAAAAGAAACAGAGAAACGGAAAATCAAAAATCCAAAAATCAACAAGATAGTCGTGAATCAGTTGCGTGCACTCGACTGTTCCCGACGGCCGATAATCTCTAATAGTTATCCATTAATCTTCTTTGTCAGTGTTCAATCGTGACGTAACAGAAAAAGAGGGGAAGCCATTTTGGAGCGGGCGTTCGGGTGGGGCGGGTTGCGTCGTCGGGCGTCGAAGAAAAAAAAATACTTTTTTTCACTTAATCTTCGTTGACGCCCGATAAAGTCTCGACGCGGTTTCAAAGCTCCAGAGTTTTAACAATGCATGCAGAACTCTACTAAAAAAGAAAACAAAAACGTGCTCAAAACGTTTTCACGCCTACGTGTACAGCATATACACACGCTTACTGGTACACGCACACACACATGCCGCATGCTACGGCACACAGTATATACACACGGGGTAGCATGCTCTCGAGTATAGACTTGCGAGTAAACAGAGGTGTAAAAGTGGCTAAAATCATCAATCAAAAGATACACAGTCGAAACCTTCGGTCCAATCCTTATAGTAAGGCATATGCATATATGTATACACAGACGGACTCGAGAGTCGAACAGCTGCGTATGTGTACGACAACGATACGCTTTTGTAACATTTTTGGTGGAAATGATATAACGTGGTCGTAAAATTTTGATCGATTGGGGGGGCTAGACGTGTGACACAAGAAACATACAGAAATATTTATAGCTTCGTATCGAGTAGAATAACACGAATTCAATACACAATGAGATAGGTTTGGTACGGTTGTGAGTAAAGTAAGATGGACCAGTGAGTGAGGGGTCACGTGACGAGTCGAGCTGCCATGTTACCGTGATGATGTCTGCACTGAACCTCGAAAAGTAATCGCTGCGTTTATTAGAATCATTAAATATTTATTGTTCTGGGTGTAGCGTGCAAAATAACTGTTGAAAAATATTATACACTGAGTACTGAGAAAAGTATGAGGTGCGAAGGTGATTGGGATCGTGACAGTTGAATACACATTGAAAATAAAGTGACGCCAGAACTTCTCGTTACGGCCACACTATACTTCTTCCACCAAAAACATGTACACATGGGCGGAGGCGTTTGAAATACTGAGCAAACTTCGTTGGCGTCTGCATGATCGGAGGCAAGTTTTAAATTATTCAAGTGTACTGGAGGAGCTAATGGGTACCCGAAGCTGTAACTCAGATCTAGGGGTTGTTTTTTTACCAAGAGTCTAAGTTACCAGTTGAGAACTACTGACTGTGGATCGCAACGGTGACGAGGGAGGGGACAACCTTGCAGACGCTGACAAAGTTATTTCACACTTCTCAAGGGTGCATACTTGAAAGCCTCTGTGGCTGTTGAAGTCATGACGATTACATGATGATTCTACGTGACAAGAATGCTTTAAAAGGACAAAACACTGTTTTCTTTTGGGACTTCGCTCTTTGGAGAGAAATTAACTAGATCACTTAAGGTTAAATGGAGGATCTCGTGATGATGGTACAGTGCAAAACGAGAAATGTATGTACGATTGGAGGGTGGATGTAACAATGACTGTAGAAAATGACCATGAACAAATTAACCCCCATCCTTCCCGTTTCTCATGCAACTCAAACTATGTTTTCGTTCGTTCAAAAACCACAGAGACGTTTGGGCACCTTTCTTGGATGCCTCACTCTGTACACATGATATACAGAGAGAGAAAGAGAAAGAAACAGAAAGAGAGAGAAATAGAGAGAAAGAGAAAGAAAGAGAAAGCGAGAAAGAGAAAGACAGAGAGGGAGGGAGAGAGAGAGAGAAATAGACAGAAAGACAGAGACGGATACACAGAGAGAGAAAAAGAGGGGAAGGAAGAGAAAGAGAAACATGGGTATGTGTTAACGAAATCTGTGTGTCGTACGAAACATCGACGGACAGGACGAAAAGGCGAATGAAAGTCTGATGGCGAGAAAAGCGAGGTGAGGTGCGAATCGATTCGATGGTGGATGACTGAACTGACGGTCGATTAGAGCGAAGTAAGCACAGTGCCAGGGGGAATTTCATATGAGCGCGGCGAGGTTTGAATGACGAATGAATTTTCTTCACGAAGAGAGACTTTCCTGCGTTGATCTTTGAACAAGAAATATATGAATTCTGTATACAAGGTGAGATCAGAGTCTGGGCCAAGCTATGGTTGTGTGCATTACGGTCACACATTGCTTCAGAACGAGTTGCATAATCTTAGGGGCCACATAGTTATAGATATATCTACTGGGTGGCCACGAACTTCGCGAATTTTGTCACATGGAAATATTAAGTACACAAAGAATCATAGATGTAATTTTAGAAAATTTTATAATAACTTATTTGTCATCGTTAAGAGCTCGGCACAGTGGTTCGTCTTACCCATATCGCACAGTGAGCAGAGGAAAAAACGTGACTGATTCGACGATCAGCTCCAGTTTTCTCTACGGTTTCCCAAGCACTAGGGACTTTTCAGTTCACAACATTCTTTCTCTTCTCTCCCCGTAAATCGGTTGGTGACAGTGCTAGGGGGAGGGGTTATGATATGACGAATGAGGTTGGAGGTGAGGGTTAGCGCTCCCGACGACGATCACGTGCAATTTCGTCGCCATGGTTTCCGGTAACACGGGGGTAAATCCAATGTAAACCTTGTG